GACGTGGATGCTTTATAATTCACAGAAACGTGTAAAAAATGACATACTTGTCACACTCGTCTTTTTTTTTTTTTTTTTAAAGAGAAATACACCTCGATTTTCTTTAGTCTTATTTTCCCAGCAGTTCCTTTTGATGGCTGCTGTTCAGATCGGGAGATCTTTCTCTTCCCTTTGCATCTCCACACTGTTTGCAGCAGGAGTAAAGAATGTTTTTACCATTCTCTCCTAAGGTAGAAGAATTGCTTAATGTTGGAACAATATGTTCCAGTGATGTGGAGCTACAGTACAAGGAGATAGTGTTGAAAAGTAGTTAAGGACATGCTGACTCTGGAGTGAGATGTGTGGGTTTGTTGGTGCGGAACTTGGATAGATCACTTAACTGTAATTTTTTTTTTTTAAATTTCCTTCAGTTTCCTTTGTAAAATAGGATTGGAGAACCTATATCACTGTGTTATGTGACAGATGAATTTGTAGATATACATATATTCATATATAGAAAGTGAGCTCTCCTGCTATCATTCTGAAAATCTTCCTACTATTAAAATGCTGAAGTCATTCCACATCTTGTTTATGTAGCTGGGAGCCTGCCGGTTGTCTTGGGGGTCACACAGCATCGAGGTACAATTCCTATGCCATCCTGAAAGCTGAGTGTGAAGTGTGTTTGGATGGTATAGACTTCCCAAGGAACCTGCAAGGGGTATGTCTCATGTTAGCTGTCTGGGGCGAACACAGCACATAAACAGAAGAGGAAATAAATACAAGTCTATCTTGATCAAGTTAAATGAATACTGTATAAATAGTTGCAATAGGAAAGTCATGAAAAATTGATGCTTTCCTGAAAAGCTTCTGAAGGAGTTGAGCTACTAGCTGAGCCTGGAAGTTGGTTGGATCTGGGAACAGGGAGGTGGGTGAAAAGATGAGGGAGTTGGGAATGAAAATACCTAAATGTACAGACAGCTGCTGCCAAACAAAGCAAGGATAGGGTGCTGCACGTCACTCACTTCCTGTGTTGTCAGAGTGAAGTTACTTAAGTTCCCAAACTTCAGTTTTCTCTTCTGTAAAGTGGGGATGGGGATATTTGCCCATGTAAAGCAGTTAGTGTGGTTTTGATACAGTTAATATTTGGGAAACAGCATCATTTGATATACACTGTAACAGCCCAAAGCATGGGAGTAGGAACTGAGCCACATAACCACAGCCAAGCTACTGAACTACTTCAGCGCTTAAGGTGGATCATTTGAAAATGAGATCAATTTTGTCTTTATTGTTTTGAGACTGTATAGCTCAGGCTGCTCTTGGATTCTGGATCCTCCTGCCCAGCCTTCTAAGTTCTGGGATGAAAGATGTGCACTACCTCAATGGACCTGAAAATGGGGATTGATTAGTAGGTTTCTTGCAGAGTTGTTTTGAGACAGTGAGGTACTGTGAAGGATAACTAGGGAGCTTAGCACATAGAATGCTCTCAAAACCCAGTCATTGCACTGTTTGTTCTGCAGCTCTGTTTTCTCGCAGATACTGTCACGGCAGTTAGTCTAGTCTCGCTTCCCTCTGTTCTTCTCTTCATCTGTCTTCTTTCAACAGCATTTATCAGCTGCGGCTGCAGAGACTGAAAAGAGAGGCTTGGAAGAATGTGGAGGTAGAGTAACTGGTCGGCACCACATGCCCAGCAGAACGGCATGGAGCAGATAAGGAGAGGGCAGCTAAGCACACAGAAGTACGGGACGGAGCATAAACACACATGCACCCCTTTGACCGAGCCAGCCTTATTAAGGCCACTGAGGGATTTTCTGCTTAAGAGGAATTTCAACCATACTGTTCCCTTGGTTAAATTTCTTCATCAACATTTTATCTTCTAGAGGATAAATCCTAACTGCTTGAAATCCTTTCTGCTTTGCTGGCTGCCTGTCTTTCCAGACTTTTCCTTGATACTTTTCCCAAGATACTCTGTATCTCTGCTGCTTTGAAGTTTTTATTCTCAGGGTGCCTTTACACATTATGGAATCTCCTCTTCCCACCAGACAAATTTCTACTCATCCTTCAGGAACCCACTGAATGGAACTTCTGTGCCTCCTCTGATCTCTCCAGAATGAGTTATTTGCACTTTGGGGTTTCTGAAATGTATCTAGAGAGCACCTGCCTATGTATATTGTCTTACAATGATTTATGCTCTATTTGTATTTCTTGCTATAGTATAAAGCAAATGGTCCCCAACTTGCATTTGTTCGACTTACAGTTTGATGCCGTTATTACAAAAATGATACACTCTTAGTAGAAGCTGTACGTCAACTGTTGCATGCAGTTCTTCTTATCCCAGGCTAGCAGCCTGAGGTGTGGCTTACTCAGCCATTGCTGGCCAAGCATCAAGCCACAGCTCCTCCTCAGTTACCTGGTCATGAGGTTCAGCAGCCAGTACTGCACAGGGTACTCAGTTGCTAAGCTCTGCTACTTGGTAGGTGAGGCGTGTGAAATGCAGTTTTGACTTGTAAGTTTTCAAGTCATGGTTTCATCAGGTTAAACCCTGTCATGAGATGAGGCACATGTGTGTCAGATGTCACAGTATTGTATACCTCTATGAGTTTGGTAGTCATGACAGTACGTGATATGGAGCAGGTAGTAAATATTTCTGTGCTAAATTAAAGAGGTAGTGGGCTCAGGTCTGATGAGTTCTAAGTCTCGCTAGCCAAAATTTGAAGATTATCACAAAGTCACTGCCTCATAGATCTCATTTTGTAGATGAAGAATTTAGAACAACAAGGAAAATCTTCTTTTTTTCCTCCATCGGGTCAAACAATGGTCCCTTTCCTTCAGAACACAGTCTTTTCCTGGCAAATTCTCCAACATTAAAAAAGAAGCTTAATTTAAAGTCCGCTAGTTGTCTTTCCTCTGATGGACTGTTTCCCAGATCATCTAGTCTAGGGTATATATCAGCAGTGCCTCATCTCTGGTTCTCCTCCAGCTTGGAGACAGGTTAACCTGGACCACCCTTTGTTCTTCAGCACTGTGTGTCAAGGGAATTCCCCAGGGGCAGAGTTGTCTGCATGTTCACAATCAAACTGAATTTTCCTGTGGCATATGCTTTTTACAATAAAATAGGATAACAATTCATCCGATAATGTATGATTTGAAAGTGATGGATGGAAAGAAAATGGCAGGGATGTTGGTCTCCCACTCATGGTTTATTAGCTCTGTGTTGTATTTAATGGTTTATCAGGATCAAATTTCTTTGAGAAGAAAGCTGCCTAATGTGGTCAGAGACATCTTTTGTTCCCTTTGGCCCTGGCCATTTTGGGGAGGAAATAAGCTTTTTTCTGTACACACTCTGCTTGGGAGCTGTAATAAGTGAGTGCACACTGCATTGCGGTGACCTTCAGCCAACCAGAGAAAGACACCTCTTCTAATCAGAGGCAAAAGCCACGATCTTTCTTGTTGTAACTTACTGTTGACACAAGAAAGGCCAGAGAGATTGACATCAATCTCTATAGAAACCATTAACCAATGCTGAATAAATCTGCAGCATTGAATCCATATGCATGCTTGCTTTTATTATTCTTGACCTATGGGCACACTTGAGCATTTTGTGGGCTTTGTTTTAAAAGGAATGTTTAAAATGTAGCTAGTTATTATGGGATTTCATTGGTGAAATAAACTGTTTGGGTAGTCTAAATAAAGGAATCTGTATTATTTTGCATCTCCTAAGCATTGTTTGCTTAGGTGTGGCTTGGTTTGATTCCAGATTAGCACACAGCAGAGGCTGTCACTTCAGCTGGGTGTAGCACAAACCAAGAAGTCTTATACACATGTTTTCCAAATGATGTGCAAGTCGTGTGTCATTTGATTCTAACTGTGACTTTATTGGCTTCTGCTCTTAAAAAATTCCTTAAAGCCTAAACAATAACTGTGTTGGCGGCAAAGACGTGTGTTTAAGAATCTCTTGGATGTCTCAAACTCAGGTTGGTAATACTTGCCAGACAATTTGTGTCCATGTGCTTAGCAGAAACAGGCTCTGTTAGTGAGAGCTTCAGTGTTTTGAGCTCCTTTTCCTGACTCCCCCACCCTGAAATCTCAGTTCTAGTTGAGGAGGGTGAGGAAACAAAAATGCTTTTCATTTCATTCTCTGCTGTACATTTTCCAGTTTGGGTGACTAAAGCTGGCCAGGGTGCCTATTTTTGGAAAGAGGAATTAAGATACTTTGGAGAAAGTACTGCTCTGTGCGCTGGCATCCCAGATGGCCAAGCTAGAGTAGAACCAAGCCCAGGGTTTGGAGGCTTTCGTGCCAATGATGACCTCATGAGGTCCAGCCTGGAGAAAGAGAGACATAGTTCTCCAACAATGATGAAGAATGGCTTCTTCCTTTCATATTTCTATTGAGTGATCTCCAGTGTCCTTCTCTTTTCCTGTCTCTGACAAAATTAGCCCTTTATAATGAACAATTGTTAGAGTTTTGGCTTGTCTCTCAGACTTCTCTTAGAGTCCCTTTCACCCCATCTCCTCATTGTGTCCTCTCTACCACACAGAAAAAACTGTGATATTTTTCTCTTTGGCATTCCTGTCTTTTCCTAGCAGCCTTTTTGAGTGGGGACTGTGGGAGATTTTACACTTGATTTGTTGAATCTGAACTCTTTGCTGTAAACTCTCACACACAGAAGGAGCTATCTTTATAAATGACAGAATGGACCTGGCCTGAATGGCGCTTTGTTTACTGTTTTCCTAAAAGGGGCCCCTCTATATTTCATCTGTCAAAGTTGCTTTTCTTTCTTTCAACAATGCTTGATTGTTTTCACAAAAATTCAGGTTCCACAGACAGGAGAATTCTGTATTATATTTTCCTGCCAAATTCCGATCTCTGTTTTCCTTCCCCTGTGCTCACAAAGGGCTCATAACTTACTGTCAACTGTGAGGCCGACCACAAAGCTCCACTGTTGCTCAGCAAATAGGCTCTATTGCATGATGGCTTGACTAGCTTGTAAAGTTTGCTTAACTGTAGCAGCAGTGGCAGAAGGCATGTGGGTACTGTATCTCCCCACAGGCCAGGAGTCTTCACTTCTTCCATCGACTTTTATGCTTTGAACTCCTTTAATTGTCGAACAGAACCGACACTGCTTTGTTTAAGCAGACTAGATGCTGTTTGAAGCCATGGCCCAGTTGGTAGCCTGGGACTCAGGAGAGAATAATTAGCGCTTTTTTTAAATAATTTTTTTTGGTTGGCAGTTAGTGTTTTTTGTGATTTGGGAAGGTGTCAAAGGGGCTATGCCCTCGAGTTCTGAAGTTCTGGCTGATGTGGCAAGAGAGAGCCGGATTGAAGAGTGGAGGAGCAGCCACTTTGTGTGAGTGATTTGTGCCTCTTTCAGCTGTCACAGGTCTTAACTGTGTTGCTTTCCCTTCTAATTTTCTAAACTTCAAAGCCTACCTGATTTGGCGGGGTGATGGTGTGTGAGGAGTCGCTGATGTCACGGTAATGAACTAATAACTTGAAAGACATTTTTGTATGACATTTGTAATCTTGCTAGGGAATTGTAATGGATTTTTAAAAAAAGATTTGATTTTCCTGTGTGTTTAATACACACACACTTTTCTGAGTAATATTTATTAGATTTTTAAAACATGCACTTCCTTTTTTTCCTGTGTAGTGTAAGGTCCTGGTATATTACTATGTAGGAAGACTCTCAGACTTCATACATGAACTCTTTCGCAAGCTCAGCCTGTCTCCCATTCCTTGCTGTTTTCTAAGGCATGCTGCATCTGACCTTATGTACTTATGTACATTATGTACCTTATGTCCTGTGGTAAAGATACCTTCTCTAATGAAAATATTTCATCATAACAAACATTTCAAATAGGCACAACTGAGAAGCAGGCCACTGGGTAATTACTGGTGTGTTTTAACTAAAGAACTTAAAGTGGTCAATGCTCACACATAATTCTAGGTGAGAAAAACTGCTATCCTACCAGGATTTACAGTGTTGAACATCATCCCTATATTCGATAAAGGTATTTTTCTATGAAACTAGTGAATTGAATTGACTTCTGAGAAATGCGTTACAAGAGTGCTTTATTAATTCCTCACTTCAACCCCCTTTATTCTGTCATTTGTTTCTTCTACATATTTTTCTGGGCAGCACACACCCTGAGTTTGTTCCCTGTAGTGCTTGGCAAAGTTCAAAATATTTATTTGTTTCTTTTCTCATCCAGCTGCCCTAGAAACCTCACTGTTTATGAGCTCCGTCCTCAGTGGAGTTTATCCTGTTGGGACATTCAGCTTCAAGTAATGCAAATAGGCACCCCAAGCTGCAGTGAATAGTGTTTTTGACTGAGCCTCAGCGAAGAACATCTATTTTGCAATAATGAAGTCACTAAAACGCCAAACAGGCCACTTTGCTTCTTTAAAGTAAATGGCGGTGAAGGATAAATGTCATGTGTCTTCAATCAGCCCCTGAAGCTGCATTGTGGTTCTTTAGCACATTGATAGGAACTGGATCCTCGACTTGATTTAGAAACAGAGAAACTGGTGTCAAACGAGAAACATTTTGGAGCCTCTCATGTGGGGCCCAGGGATCACTGGTGCTCAGGTCATTGGTTTCTCCGAAAGAAAATTGAGTGTGTACTCTGAAAAGCATTCATGCATTTCAGGGAACATGGGTGGCTTAGACGTTGCACTGTCAAGTTAATGTAAGTGCTGATATAAGTATGGTTTACAATAAGGTTGCTCTTGTTTAAATCAATTCAAAACAAATGGCTTACAGTATCCAAATTCTTGAACTGTTGTTTTTCTTTTTCTTTTTCTTTTTTTTTGCTATTGAAAATCAAGGAAAGAGATGAACAGAGGGAGGCACAAATGGATAACCAGAGTCTCAGCCTGTCCTTTCCTCTAGCCTTGGGAAATGGCTCTCAGTAGTGTGGGCAGTAGGATCTGGTCTTTCCAGTGTAAAGAGTGTCTTTTTTGTAGCTCTTTGTAGGGATGGTATGTATGAGTCTCTATGTATAAAATGTACTTTGTCACTGGTCCACTTATCATTGGGTCACAGGCAGACTGAGACTAGGAAACTTTCATTGAATGGAACTTTAAATGTGATTTCTAAAAATTCAGAATTTCTTTCTTTAAGGATTTTTATTGGTTTTGTTTGGACCAAAATACTTTTCCTTTAAGTTTTATTTGAAGCAATTTAGCATTTTTTCTATTTCTACTAAATGCTAGGTACTTTCACAGTCATTAGTTTAATCTTCACGTCAGCGTAAAGGTACGTGAGTTGACCCAGTTGTACAGATGGCGATGTGGAGGCTCAGAGAGTTGAGTGATTTCTCAAGTCCACAGGTCTATGAAGTTAGAGATCCAAGATTAAATCCCCTTTCAAAACCTTCCTGCCATACCACAGTCTATCTGGCAATAGATTCTGTTAAGACAAGTAGAGTTTTCCCAGTTTTAGGCACCATAGATACAAATAAATATTTATTTTTAAAGAAATCTAAGCAGATAATAGACTAGGCATGGCAGTACTAAAAGTTATCCAGAGAACTGTCTCAGTCAGTTTTGGGAAGTTGAAAGGCATACTTTGATGATCTGGGCCCATGACTATGAATACCATCCAGTTCTTTCCTACAGCAAACACCAGAGCTGGAGAAAGCCAGGGGTTCTTAGCTTGATAGATGCAGTTAGATGCTCAGTAAAGAGTCTCTTAATATGCAAGGCTGTGGGCAGCCACATTTGACTTTCATAATGATAAGCTAAACAGTTCTGTGCAGTGATTCATGGAGACAATTGGATTCTCATGTTCTCCTTGGAGCTGTTTATGATAATATGTTACCAGCAACTGCAAGTGAGAAATTTAAAGCAAATAGCTATAAGGAAGGTAAAGAGTTACAGAGGTGTGGAGAGAAAAACACAAGGTAGTGGTACTTTAGCTATCTGTGGAAACAGAGTGTTTTGTGTATATTAAAAAATGCAGAAGTCTGTATTGCTGATGAAAACCTTTCTTCAGCTTTTACAGACATTGATAGTTTAGAACAATTCATGCCCTTGTGTATGAAGCTTTTCTGCCTCTTTCCCTAGAAGTTAGGGTATACTTAATATCCTATGCAGTCAGGTTTTAAGAGACTATTTGAGTTCCTGTGCCCTTACTGGGATCAGAAGAGACAGTTGTATCTAAATGAATATTGCTAGAGCTCCCATTTCCCTTTCATCAGGGCTC